AATATAATTTGATATTGTTCATTACTATTTGATCAATAATTTTGAAAGCATATCTTCCAAGATATTTTCAAGTGAAAAGTATATCATTTTTAATATAATCAGGGATTAATTTATGATATTAATTTTTATATGATTTAATTTTTATTCTATATATTTAACAATGAAAAATCGTCGAAAGTGTATTGTTACCAAATTGGGTAATTGTTAAGATCGTCATCCAATCTTCTAAGTGAAAGGTATTATTCGACATTGTTTTCTTTTTTATATATAAGTAAACAATGCTGAATATCTAATTATTATGCGACAGTTCATTGAATATCTTCCAAGCATATTTTGATATAATCAGTTTCCTAATAAAGTAATTTTTAATTAATGATATTAGAACGAATTATTTTTATTTGAATCATTAGGATCATATATATATCCATTAACTATTTTTTAATGTAATCAGTTATTTAATTTATGATATAATGGTGATATTTATATAATTTTATAATTAATATAATTTGATATTGTTCATTACTATTTAATCAATAATTTTGAAAGCATAACTTCCAAGATATTTTCAAGTGGAAGGTATATCATTTTTAATGTAATTGAGGATTAATTTATGAAATTAATTTTTTATATTTAATTTTTATTCTACATATTTAACAATGAAAAATCGTCGAAAGCATATTGTTACCAAATTAGGTAATTGTTAAGATCGTTATCCAATCTTCTAAGTAAAAGGTATTATTTTTTAATATAATCAGTGATTAATTTAAAAAATTGCCAAAATGTATAACTACCAAATGCGGTAATTGTTAAAGATATATTATGTTTAATGTAATTAGTTATTAATTAATGATATTATAGTGACATTAATGTAATTTTTTATTGCTTACTAATGAAAGAGTACAACATTCAAAGGAATATCTTCTTGCAAAAGGTAATTAATTTAATGTAATTATTTATTTAATAAAGTAATTTTTTAATTTAATTAATAGATATTAGGATGATGAGAGTAATATTTATATATAAAACGGTCAATATTATAAAATTCTTTTAATTTTTTTGTCAACTTAAAATTTTATTAAAACATGAGTAAAGAAAAGTGTTTGCCCAAACCAGAGAGCAGTAAAATGGATGCTAAAAAGTCTAAGAAGTCACATAAACATAAGAAAAGAAAATGTAAGGTTTATAAAAGGTAGTAACTTTAATATATTATTAAAACAACAATAATCTATTATTTAGTGGATGCGAGTTTCATTGCGCAAGCAGTAGCTCAAGCAGTCGCAGCAGTATTTAATAAGGAGAAAGAAAGAGGAAGATTAACATCTCCCTCAAGCTCTAGTAGCTCAGGAGCTACTAGTAGCAAAGATGAAAATGAGGTGGAAGATAAATCAGTTAAAAGGAGAAGAGATAGATCAGTTAGTAAGAGGAAAGATAGATCAGGTAGTAGAGCTAGTGGTAGGTCAGTTAGTAGAAGCACAAGTTGCAGCACTAGCAGGTCTAGTAGCAGTAGCAGCAGTTCAAGTGAGGATGTACCGAAAGTATTAACAGATGAGCAGAGGTCTCACTTACAAGTAAATATTATTTGTTTCACATTTGTGTATTTGTCTGTTTTTTACTATTGTTATTATAATTAATTTACTTTTATTAATGTTATTATAATTAATTTACTTTTATTATTAATATTATTATAATTATTATTGCCAAAGGATGAAATTAAAGTATTAATAGAAGGTGGTAAGCTATCTGACCTAAAGCCTGATCTGACTAAACAATGGGCTAGCCAATCACAGGACATAAGGCAAAAGCTAATTCCAGCTATTACAAAAATTATCAGGATATTGGTACCATTCTGGCATGATTGAAAAAATTTTAAAACAACATTATAAGATGCAGTGTCGGACAGCAACAATAAATGCTGATCCAAAATTAAAGGCCTATAATCACATCAGAATAGAAAAATAGTAAGGTGAATGAGGTAAGCATAATAAAATTTGTCATGTAAATTATTTTTTAAATTAATTCTAGAGTTACTTGACTAACAAATTATTTACCTGATAAATTAGTATGAGATTACCAATATATTGGGTAAATAATTTGTTTTTAGCCTACAAACCATTTACCTAATATATCAGTAATCTCTTACTGATTTATTAGGTAAATGATTTGTAAGTGAAATATAATAATTTAAATTATTGTATTATAGAAGAGGAAAAGAAGACAAAAAACATTAACATATTTAATAAAGGTGGGAAATAAAAGCATTAGGAGATATTCACAGGACAACCTGGAGAAATTAACAAAAAGCAAAGGATGGAATCCCTAACATTCTGATGAGGAGTGGAAGACGGATGAGGTTCAGTCGAAGGATGGTGAGAAGGTTAAGAAGTTAGTTTGTATTAACAAATGGTGGCAAGGCCTTAATATAAGTAAATATTTTACTGGTGCTGAAAAAAAAATAATGTTGATCAATTTTAAAATATTATTTATACATGTTTTAATTTTTTACTATGTAAAAATCGTATTATAAGATAAAATTAGCTTGCATTATTTATAATGCTAGCTAATTTAATCTATCTTCTTTATTAAACTATACTGGTATAAATATTATATTAACAGACTATCGTCTTACTTATTTAGTTAAAACGGCTATTCTATAAGCATATTGATCTATTTGTGGAACAACTGCAGCCAAAAAACAATAGAATACATAAATGGCATTATGAAGTGCAAGTTGATATGACTGAAATGCCACCACCTAATTGCCTAAGATGGGCATTATCAGAAGAAGCTTTAAACCTATTTAACATTTTGGATCCAGAATTTGATGCAGACTTTTCTACTAGAGATGAAGATCCACATAAGAAAAAAAAAGCGAAAAAAAGTGGTAGTGTGGGTGCAGAAAAAAGTAGTAAGAGAAGTAAAAGGAAAGAAAAAGATAATGATGATAGGAAAGAAAGAGACAACGATAATAGGAAAGAAAGAGATGATGATGATAGAATTATATTATACAAAAGAAGAAAGAAGGATGGTAGTACTTCACCACTACTACCTAATATTAGAGATCTCGCTGCTACATAGTTTAATGTTACTACAGTAACAACATCATCCGCACGAACTACAACAGCAACAACAACAGCAGCAGCAACACTAACAGCAACACCGACAGCAACACTAACAGCAACACCAACAGCAACAACAACAGCAGCAGCAACAATGATAGCAGCAACAACAACACAAACTAAAACAGCAGTAACATCATCAAAAACAGGAGCAAAATCACCTTTAAAAGGTACAAAAGGCCTCCCTATTAATGTTACAACAATATCTGATGAAGATATACCAAGTGAAAGTATTGGCAGTGATGATGATGGTGAGGGAAGTGATAGTGAGAATAAAGGTGAAGATGAGGATGAGAGTGAGCGTACAGATAAAAAAAGTGGGCAGGGTAAAAAAAGTAAAAGGAGAGAAAGGAGTGCTGAATGTAAAAAAAACCAAGAAAAGATCACAAAGCGATAATGAATGTTAATTATAAATTATCATTTAATTTTTATTTTTCAAAATAGAATTTATTTGAAATAATTAAATTTAATAAATATAATATCAGTATATATAATATAAATATCATCTAATGAAATATTAAACAGTAACATATCATATAAAATTTTTATATTATCGGTAAGATGATATTTGTAAATTAATTAGAAAATCAAAAATATCAGCTATATATCTTCTAAAAAAAAATTAACCGATTATTAAGTAATTATTAAATAATTTAAATCATAAAAAAATCATTCAAAATATACTTAAAGAAAGTAAGTAATCATAAGTCTATCATCAAGGTAATCATAACCTTATTACTCTATAAATTAAGCCGATCATCTGATTACTAATAAAACATTTCAATAAATTACAATATCAGCAAAATATTATTTAAAATATTTACAAATAGCCATTACTATATCAAACAATGATTAAAATGATCTTTAAAATATCGGCCTCAATCGCTTTTAATAATGATTATTAAATCTAAAATATCGTTCAACATCTTTAATACCGATATTTTAATTTTATAATTATCATTCGATATTATACTAAACATATTTATTATATTGGTATAATATCGTATAATCTAGACAAAAATTATTTATTAATTAGTCTGTAAAATATCGGCTAACAATTAATCTAATCACCAAACTATCGTTAAAAAATCTTACCAAAATCTTCTATATATCTTTTAAATAATATACTAATTATCGTAATGATATTTGAATAATTTTAGATAAAATTAACCAATATGCAACATATTTTCCTAAAATCTTCAGGCTATCGGCTTGTTTTTTTTTTACTATCAAATCTGTTATAAGCCATCATACTATTGGCCTGCTATCATCCAGAGTGATTATTTGAAGATATAAGGATGTTATTTTTGATTTCAACCAGTGAATTTTGTTCTTTTTTTTAATAAAAAAAACTTTTAAATATCTTAATCATAGCTGTTTGTTATCCAGTAAAACTCAAACTCATAATCTTATAATTGTGATTTAAAAGTGCTAATTACTGCATTATTAATTCACAAGTCATTAATTTCTATTTTAATATTAAACTATATTATAATTTTAAATTTTAGTAAAAACTTTTTTTTCAAAAAAAAAAATCATTAGTAAAATAGCAACTCTTTCTACTGATCCTCTGAACACAAATTCGATATAAACAAAAAATCAACAAAACACATATTTCATTAAAGAAAACACAGTTCACAGTACTAAGTGAAAAGAAAGAATACACAAAATAATACCTAGTCTTTTAGGAGACGAAGGTTAAAATGTTAAGGCTTTGGATGAAAAAAAAAAAAAACAGCAAAGAACTGACGAAATTTCACCCTTTGCAAGCAATTTTTAGGAAATTGCACTTGACCCTATACTGCAGATCTGTTGTTGTTATACAAATAAAATACGCGTCAAGGAGTAAACAAAATAATCTAATTGTAGATTACGTGACAGATGTAAACAGAGAAACGGCATCTAGGAATTCGTGTACTGAAGAAAAAGAAAATTTTAGAAAACAAAACAAAACTGTGGAGATATTGAATGAATCAATAGAAGATTATTTAGAAGAACTGAAGCTTTATAATAACTGGATAGTTGACTTTAAGAAAAAAAGAGAAGAGCAACAAGCACTTCAAAGAAGAGGCATAGAAGAAAACTTAATCCATCAACTTGAACAAAAAAATTTACTCTTTCTAACACAAAACGATAGAAAAGAAGATAAGTAAAATTTAGAATTTTTGACAAAAACAGAGATATTTGATATGCAGATAGAAGATTATATAGAGAAATTAGAGCAAGATAAAATATGGATCCAAACTTTTAGACAAGAAAGTTTAGAGCAGAGATCGCAACAAAAAAGAAAAGAATAGAAGATTCTTTTTAACAAATCGAAGAATTATATATATATATTGTGGAATCAAACCAAGAGAAGAATGAAGTAAAGAATCCTATAGACAAGAAAGAAGCTTTATCTAACAATTATTTAGAAGAATATCTGGAGGAATTATACCATACAAGAAGTGGATAACAGGTCTTAGAGAAAAAAGAACAAAACAAAAAGAATCTCAAAGAAGAGAAAGAAGAGAAAACCTCGAGTATTTTTATGAAGAATTAACAAGAAACTACCTTCAACTTCAAGATATATTAGAGAAAAGAATTATAGATAGTGAAGAGAAAGAAGCTAACCAAATGAAAGACAAGTTAAAGATATCACAGAAGAAACTTCTAGAGTAAATTTTAGTGAGTTTGGGAGAACTTCTAATCCAAGCAAGAAGAAGTAAGAAGACTAGAACAAACTGAAAAAGCAGAAAGAAAAAAGTAAAGAAGAAAACTCTATTACAGAATAGAGAATTATTAGTAATTAATGAAGAAGATAAAGTGGAAGAAAAGAGAAGCATTGAAGAGTTAAGAGTCAAGTTACCTGCAGGAAAACATAAAGTAAAATAGAAAAAGAAAAGAAAGAATATTAGCTTAGAAATAGATAGTATAGTATTTTTATGAAAGAAAGGTATTTTAGATAGCCAAATAGAATTAGAATTAGATAAATTAGAATTAGATAATAGCATAGCAGAAGGGTATTCAGATAAATTTGACTCAATGAAACTAAATCAAGACCTCTTCGAGGTCTATAAAGCTTCTGAGGCAACTTGGTAAAAGCTTTCTAGGTGGAGAATATAAACCTCTATCTAGTGTAGCAGACTGCTTTTGGGCATCTATAGAGACAGTTGAGGGATGTTGGGCCTAGATATTAAGCTTAACATTATATAACTAGTTTTATATAATAATCTTAATAAAGGATCACTGGCAAGGTTGCCAAAGAGAAAAAAAAAAAGTAATAACTTTTTTAATATTTAAAGTATTATATTTTAAAAAGCTAATTAAGAAACAAAAATAAATATACTAAATAAATCTTAAAAATTTTGTATAATCTAAAATTTAAGCTATTATATTTGATTTTTATTTTGGTATTAACTATACCTTAATTCTAAATTTTGCAAAAAAAATTTTTATTATAAAATTGAGGTAGATATCAATATTTACTAGTATTATAATGATTTTATAATAAAAAAATTATATAATATATTTTTAATAGAGCTATAATAATTTTGTTATATTTTAGTTAATAATATTTAACAAATATTAACTAAATAAAAATTTTTTAATT